GCATGTTAAACTTTACTAACCTCACAGGCCAGCAGCTGGGAAGCAATAGTAATAAGGCCTGCATGCTTCTGGCTGAAAGGCAAGATAACAGATCAAAGGGAAAAGGACAAGATAACGGTTCAAAGAAGAGTTACTAACGAGCTAGACTTATAGCCGCCAAGATGACTTAACTGCTTAAATGTAACTGCTGTAGGAGGAAGGAGGGGGAAAGGGAGGAAGGGGGGGTAGGGAAGAAAGCGGGGGGAAGTAAAGTATAAAAAGAGAAAAACTGCTTATGTTGGTGCACTTGATTTGAGACATGCTGGTCTCCTAGTGCCTATTCAGAGCTCTTGAATAAACTTTGTCTCCTTCTCCACCCTCGTGTGTTCATTGGCGCGAAGCACACCGGGCAACGAACCCCACTGTTGCCCCCTCGGGTCCTCTGTGCCGGCAACAGGTATACAGTATTAGTTTGTGCTTCCTGTATCTTGTGGGCAGATATTGTGCTTGCTGGATTTTAGTGAAAGAGGCCCTTTAGAGAAAGAAATAAGATTGAAAAGAAAGAATCATATTAGTTTTTAAAAGTATCTAAAATTTAAGGAAGAGAAAGTTTCTGGGTGAAATGCTCCTCCCCTCCACCCCCGCCTCATCTCTGTCTCTCTCTCGCTCTCTTGCTCTCATTTCTATAGAACTTTTCTGGTGCTCAGAAGAGCCCCATTAGCTAAAAACAGTATTGCACAGTGATGGGGAACCTCTACAGGTTCAAAAGTTTCCCATGAATAAACACCCAAAGATCTGGATTCTTATCTGATGTCTAATCCAAAGCCTGCTTAAATCAATGGAAGGCCTTCTGTTGACATCAGTAGGATTTGGATCAAGTGCTTAAAAGCTTATTGGAATTATTCATACCTCTATGGTCTGCAAAACTGAGTTCAGCTGGGCCTGAATTACAGAAAGAAGAGTTTTAGATTTGGTATTTCAGTGCTTCTCCTTACAGTCCCACCTACAACACAGAAATGCATAAAAATGAAAAAGAAAACTGATATATTTTGAATCATAAAAAGATGTTCCTGTATTCAGTCTGAATTCTGGGTAAAGGTTTGTTGGGATTTTTGTTTGTTTGTTTGATTGCTCTTTGCAGTGGGAGGAGATCTTAGTCCATTTCAGACCATTTATTAATTCCTCACTTTATTCACAACCAGATGAAATGTCACAGCAAGCCTAAACATAAAAGAATGGGCCAGATGAATTTGATGCAATGTGTGCATGTGTGTGAACTTAATTTGAAAATTTTATCAGCTTCGCCCATTAGTCCGCTGGTTCTCACAGAAACTCTTAGTTTCAATCAAATGGGGATGAAAAAACCTAAGCTTGCATCATTCATAATGGACCCAATTGCTCATGTTTTATCTGTTCTTCCACAGTGCATGTCATCAGCTGTTCCTGGTGAATTAAGAAAACAAGTGACTGTTGCCGCTGCGGTTATTTCTGCTTCTTCCAGAGTGCTAGACAAACATCATAAACAACAGGAATATACTGCATGGTGCTGGTTACCAGTGCTAGGACTTCAATTGCTAAAACAAACTGCTCTGTCTCCCTTCCTCATCTGAAATGGAACAGAAAAACCAGCTGTTAAGGACAGAGAAAAAACTCAACTACATTTCTGATAAATTTCAATTTTATGTCCAATCTAGTTTATGGAGGAAGAAACATATAAAAATGTGTACATTCTCTGCATCAGAGAGAAGAAAGATAGGAAAGATAGGAAATGAATGTAAAAGGTAGTTTCAGACCCTGTGCACACTGTGATGAAAAATAAAATATATTTAAGCATGTTGTTGCAAACAGTTTTCCTCGTAATATAAACTGGTTGTGCCCACACTAGACTTTTTCCTTAGGATCTTCTGTCTTTGCACTACAGACTAGTGAATAGCACTTTAAATACTTTGTGCTCTTATTTGCACATGGACCATCAGGTGTGGGAATGAGAGCTTTATATCACCAGAATGTTTGGAATCCAACATTTCGATGGGAGACAGGGCTTGTTTCTCTACCTGATAGATGACAAGATATCGGACCATAAAATCATGACAATACGATGCACAGAAATTGTAGACAATTTTTAAAGATTTCTAAATTATAGAAGTTCCGGTTTTCTGTCCTTCCAAAGCCTTTCTGCTGAGACTAGTAGTACTAAGGCAGACAGGCTACTACACAGACAGAAGGTTGGTCATAATTTCTTCCCTGAGTTCTTCCTGGTGCAGCACAACTTTGTGCAGCTCTTTATGCAGTGCTGTGCTTCAAGGCATGATCTCGCCCTTCTGAAATAATCTCCCAAGGAAGTGATTGAATTCTGTTCACCATATACATTTAAATCCAACCCCCCTTTTCCTCCCCTCCCCATAAATGTACAGTGAAGAACAGCTCTGCACTGTCAGGGAGATGGCCTAAATAACCTAGTAGGATTTTTCCACCTCTGTATCTTGTGGGCCAGATTTTGAACCACGTATGCCAAGAGTTACTAGGACTATAAATCAATGGGACTACTCAAGTGAGTAACCCCTCTCCATTGCAAGTAAGGTTTTTATAATCTGTCCTTTATTATTTATATAATTTTGTTTTTTATGTGGCTAAGCAGTTCTTTTTCTAGTTTGGTCTTTTCCTCTCAAGCAAAATGTTTTGGATCAAACTTTACTACACTGTACCATACTATTTTTGATGTTATTACTACCTGTTATTCGGAGCTCATAAGATATTTGAAAAATATAATTGTTCTTCCTAGTGTGCACTATTTTTGCCTGTAATTAGTGCAATTCAGAGCCGAAGAACTTATGGATTTTCTAATGGCCTTTGTTGAAGCTGTAGATGTGCAAAACACAAATAGCATAAGATCGTCTTCCCAGCAGTAATATAGTGTCTGGCTTCATTGTGTACAATTTAGCTATAGCAAGCTGCTTGCCTGCTGTTGCTTTACAGCATTTAGATTTTACATGGAATTTTTTGTTGTGCTTACCAAACTGATTTTCTTAAAGTATATTTTAGAAAACTATTCTTACAAAATCTTGCAAACAAACTGCACTTAGTAATATTTCAGTTATTAGTGCCACAAACCTTTTAAAAGGAAAAACACAGAGATCTGGCCTGAGTAGATGTCTGTAGGCGAAAATCTGATGCAGAGTAACACTACCATTGAGATCAATGAAGTTTTAAAAACCCTGAAGTCAATAAAAATATTATGAAAATAGAATCCCTGCATGCACAGAGTGTTCACATTTCTAATGCTGTATAAAACCAATAATGTCCACCCCCACTGCATATATAAAACACGCAGCTCCCTAGTTTGTAAATTCAGGCAGAGTATTCAAAGCCTGGACAGACTTTCTGGGTCATAAGCCAGGATACTAGAGTAACAGAATTCCCCATTGTAGGAAAAGCTGGTTCTTTGTACTGTTGGGTAGCCTCATTAGATGGTGCTGGGAATTGTGCTTGCTGGATGCAGGTGGGTGATGGTGGTGGTGGTGTGTGACTCACGGACTTCTGCTGTGTTATCCAAGACCAGTGCTTAGAAAAGTTTACTGATCCTGAAAACATTTTACTTGCACACAAAAAAGACAACCCCTGCATTATAAGAACATGATTAGGGTTCCAAAGTTAAGCACTCAAAAGTTAAGAAATACTAGAATTAAAATGGTCTCTGCAACCTTAATTCAGCTTCAATTCATGTACATATTATGAAACAGTCTTTAATTACATGATTACATACATTTTTACAATAATAACCCTGCTTCATTCAGTACACACGAAGGTGGTCACTCCATGAGATCACCCAACAGTTTAATCAAAACCAAAATGTTTCACAGAAATGTCATCCGGAGGTTTTCTCAGGTCTAGGGTAGAATTTCTGGTCAAAATGAGAGCGAGAGAGAGACCAAGACCCACCACAGGATATCCAATAGCCTCATGGTTAGGGCACTCACATGGGAGACCAAGGTTCAGGTTCCTACTCTACCTAATTTAGAGCAGGAACTTGAACCTGGATCTCCCACATCCATGCCCTAACCACTGAACTACTACCTTTTCTAATGCCCATCTAAGTGCCTGTCTGTTGTGTTTTCTCATAAAAAGGAATTGTTTTCTGGCCATCCATATCAATGAGCAGCTATTGAACACTTTGTTTTATTCTCATTGTTCTATATGTGGCATCAGGCTTTATTTACTGCACACTAATTCAAATCTTGCTCTGAAGACAGAATTATTAATATCCTTATGGACTTTTCTAGCTCACTCATTATTATAGTACTTGAGTGCTTCACACACATTAATTTATCTTCACAACACCCCCGCAAGGTGCTGGTGATGGGGTGGTGTTGTCCCCATTTTACAAATAGTGAGCTGAGGTGCAGATAAATTGAAATGTCCACTGATTTTGGTGCCAAAATGGGATGCCTAGGACCTGATTTTTCTGAGTAGTACTTAGCATTACAGAGCACATTATGTACATTCAAAGCACAGCTCCATTGACTTCAGTTGCAACTGTGAGTGCTCAGAACTTCTGCAAATCAGACCCAGGGGACTCAAGTTGTCACCCAAAAAATGAGGAACATACAAAGTGACCACCTGTGAAAAGTTTGGTTTAAGTGACCTCTCCAACATCACATAAGAACTATGTGGCAGAGGCAGTGATAGAATCCATTTCTCCAGGGCAGCATTCAACTATCATAACCAGGGACCCCTCCTTTCAGTTCCTGCAAAACTCCCCTTCATTCCTACATACTTGTGACATCTTCCGGTCATGCAGATGGATCATGCTCACCCTGATGCCTAAAAAGGGGGATCTCTATGACCTAAGGAATGGGCATTCAGTCTCACTCCTCAGCATGGACTACAAGAACATAACAAAAGCCATCTCAATATGGCTGGAGTCCATGCTCACGGATGTGATCCACTCCCCAATAAACCTACAGAGTCCTGGGCTGAACCATCTTCAATAGCCTCTGTCTGGTCTGGGATCTACTCTAGCTAGCATATAGGGATGGTGTGTTGCCCTCCGTCCTGTCCCTGAACCAAGAGGTGTTTGACAGGATGGATCACAGGTATCTCAATGGGCACTCTGTGCATATTTGGTTTCAGTCCCCACTTCGCTATCTCCAGGTGCTGTATGCCTCTGTGGAGTATCTGGTCAAGCTCAACTGAACCTTGATTGAACCCACCACCTTTGGTTGAGGGGGGCATCAAGGCTGCCCACTATCCATCCAGCTCTATACCATTGCCAGTGAGCTGTTCTGCCATCTCATCCCCAACAGGATGATGGGTTTGGTACTTCAGGAGCAGGACATGCGGGTGTATGCCAATGATGTGCCTCCTGTGGCCCAGAACCACCTGGCATGGGTGGCAGCTTGCCAAGACATCTTTTCTGTGGCCTCCTCTGCCTGGGTCAACTAGGACAGAGGAAGTAAGGTCTGTTACCAACAAGGCACATTCCGCTGCGAAACCTGTCTGTGCCCAAGTCCTGTCTCTTATTACCCAACTGGCTCTTTGTTCCTCTTTTTCATCATCCACCTCCCATCACAGGTGAGACACACTCCCTGCTCTCAGTTATTGTGCTTGGCACTACAACGTTGTAGTAAGAAGTCTTGCTCAGCCCCTGCAATCCTGTGCTGGAGAATGCTTGGTGCAGATGGAATCTTCAGAGAACTTAGCTGCCAGACTGTAACAAGTATCTACCGAGATTGTGCAAACTGAGATTTTTCAAAGATTTATAACTTGGCCACATTTCAAAGCCTGTGCTCCAAAACGTGAAAGTGCTACTGCTTCTCAACAAAACATTTGTAAGAATTTTTGAACACATGTCAAATATCTTGTATTTTTCCCTAATCTCAGTCCTGGAAATGGCTGAACTGTTTAGCTGAAACTTTTCCCAAAAATTCAACCTGAGGCAGACACCCAGCATGGAAAATTTCTTTCTGAACAGTTAAAATTTGGTAAAATGTATAAGCAACTGAAAACAGAGTCTTATCATAGGAAGTGTCAGGCAATGTTAACTTTAGGGGGCACCACCTGTAATCTCAAAAAAATTGTTGATGCGGAATGTTAACTATCCAAAACTTCCATTGCTTTTTCAAAATGTAAAAGAAAGCTATGTCCTTACAGACAGCAGCAGATTCCTTAAAGTTAGCTTGAACTTCTTGTGTGTCATCAGCAGAATTGCTAATTAAGTTCTAATTAGAGACAGCTGTGTAAACCCATTGAAGGCAATGGGGTTGCTCTATCATTTAGAGCATAGTTTTAATAAAATAGGGCTGCCTATGGGTAATGATGATCCATTTTGGCTTGCAGAATCTTTATTAATAGACCTGAGGTGTGAGCACAAAAAATAATCCAGTTTGACTCTGAAATCCCAAATTGAGTTTGCTGGGCTGGGAGATGGGAAATATAAACACCTGTTCTGATTATTTTTTTTTTAAGCAAAACAAAACTAAACTATGTTAAAAAACATTAAAGTTTCAAAGTGTAGCACTTTGTTGAAAAGTTAGGAAATGCCAAAATTAAGGTTGCCCATGCAACCATCTATAGTTCCTTGATCACTTAATACTTTTTTCCCAGCAGAGGAGATATATGTTCTTCCTAGCTCTACTATATCTCCCATAATGCATCACAGCTACAAGACTCCTATGATGTACCACAGTAGCTCAGAAAAAGAGGATACAGTGTGCATCATAGGGGATGTAGTCAAGGCAGGAAGCCTGGCCTATACAGGAGAACAGGGGTATGAGGGATTCAAACTACAGTTCCCATAAGACACTACAGCAGCATTTCCAAATTGAAAAATTTAGATTTTGATTCGAGCATTTTTGGTTTTCAATTTTTTGCTGAAAAATCAATATTTTCCATGAACATCTTGATGAAAATGAATTTTCTTTCATTTTCATCTACATTTTCCACAAAATAATTTTTTTTCCAAATTTGTTCTAGTCATAACACCTGGTAAAAGGAGGGCATCACATAAACATATAGGGCAGAGGTGGGCAACCTATGGCCCGTGAGGCAGTTTGTTTACATTGACCATCCGCAGGCATGGCCTCCCACAGCTCCCAGTGGCCATGGTTTGCCATTCCCGGCAAATGAGAGCTTCAGGAAATGGCTACTCACCACTGATATAGGCCTTGATTCTCACTTATATCAGATTTACACTGAAAACTTCAATGGATCTATTCACCACTATAGGTCACATGAGAATTAGGTCCACAGATCAGAAAAGAACCTCAAATTTCCAGAGGGTCCTGGGGCACCTTTAAGACTAACAGAAGTATTGGAGCATAAGCTTTCGTGGGTGAATGCCCACTTCATCAGACGCATCAGTCTTGTGTCTGATGAAGTGGGCATTCACCCACGAAAGCTTATGCTCCAATACTTCTGTTAGTCTTAAAGGTGCCACAGGACCCTCTGTTGTTTTTTACAGATTCAGACTAACACAGCTACCCCTCTGATACTCAAATTCCCACTGCATCCTGAACAATATTCAATTTGGATCAATTTCCACAAACACTCAGTGAAGAGCTATTTATGGCCCCAATCCAGCAAATTATACTAAGTGGGTGGATTCTTGCACTGGTGTGGAGCTTTAGTAGTAAATTGCAAACACTGAGACTACAATAAGTAGCCTAATTGAACTGCATGGGACTTCTCACAAGTCCAGTCCTTACAACATTTACAACCATGCATTCACACTTCCATTTGAACTCATTGGGAGCTGCAGAGGCTCAGCACTTTTGAAAATCAAGCCATCAGGCATGTATGCAAATTTAGTCAGATTTCCCACTTTAGTCAAAGTTACTCACTTGCCTAAGTGCTCAGAGGTAGTCTGCCAAACACTGTTTTGCTGTTGTGTTGTTGTTCTTAAAATGTTCCAAAAAAATTCAAGATTTTATTTATCTTCAAAGAAGTCTGAAAACAAGAAAACTTTCTTCTATTTTTTCTTAAATTAGAAGAAATGAAAAACTCTAAAAGTTATAGCCAATATTTTTTAAAAATAATAATATGTTTTTGGACTAAGAACCTGCATGACATATTTCAGATGTGAGCTTTTTTTCTGCCAAGTTCTAAACCTTATAAAACAGGTATCTGCTGCTAAAGCATTAATTATGGCATCACAATTATACAAATGCTATGTTATAATAACAGACTCTAATTGGTTCCCAAGGAGCTGTCATGTATCACTTTGATACTTGAAAGTGAACTGCAATTATGGTGATGTTTCATTAGGGAGCTGTTGCTGCAGGGCAAAAGGACCAGGTCCTTGTTAGGGGCAACATTGTGAGGAGCCCTAACTAATCATGCAGAGAAGTATGGATTCCTCCCCACTTGTGTGGATGTTTTAGGGTTACCAAAAGCTTAGTTACAGGTGCTGGAAGCAGCAGGACTATGCATTGGATGCTCCCCCAGGGCTCAAGTGAATAGGTAGTTGATAGGGAAGGCAAGGCAGTTGATACTATCATGGCTCCATATTCTCTGTTTAAGGCGGGTGAATTATATTATAACCTAAAAATGGGTTTTGCA